TGATGAACTGTCTGTTCTTTTTCCCATTTTTTAAAAGTCATTTGTCTTATTGCTAGCTAAAATTCCAACAGAAATTATCCTTTTGGCAAGAGGAACCAAGAAAAGGTAGTAATTAAAATTATGTTGTACTGACACAAGACTCAACAGATAGCTCAAATGCACTGGAGAGAGAGCCCAGAAACACACTGTGTATATGTGGGAACTCAGCATATAATAGCAGCATCATTTTTTTTTATTATGAAATTTATTGTCAAATTGGTTTCCATACAACACCCAGTGCTCATCCCAAAAGGTGCCCTCCTCAATACCCATCACCCACCCACCCCTCCCTCCCATCCCCCATAAACCCTCAGTTTGTTCTCAGTTTTTAGGAGTCTCTTATGTTTTGGCTCCCTCCCTCTCTAACCTCTTTTTTTTTTTTTTCCTTCCCCTCCCCCATGGTCTTCTGGTAAGTTTCTCAGGATCCACATAAGAGTGAAAACATATGGTATCTGTCTTTCTCTGTATGGCTTTTTTCACTTAGCCTCACACTCTCCAGTTCTATCCACGTTGCTACAAAAGGCCATATTTCATTCTTTCTCATTGCCATGTAGTACTCCATTGTGTATATAAACCACAATTTCTTTATCCATTCGTCAGTTGATGGACATTTAGGCTCTTTCCATAATTTAGCTATTGTTGAGAGTAGCAGCATCATTTAAAATTGGTGAGAGACAAATTATTCCACAAATGGTGCTGACAACCAAACTTAGACCCTATCTCATACTACAGAGAAAAGTAAATCACAGGTGGATTCTTTACACTTAATCATCACTAAACTTTCTTTTTCTTTTTCTTTCTTTCCTTCTTTCTTTTTTTTTTTCTTTCTTTCTTTATATTTGAGAGAGACAGAGAACATGTGCACACACGAGACTTGGGCAGAGGGGCACGGGGACAGAGGGGGAGAAAGAGAGAGAATCTTAAGCAGGCTCCATGCTCAGCACAGAGCCCAACATGGGGCTCAATCCCACAACACTGGGGTCATGACCTGAGCTGAAACCAACAGTCAGATGTTTGACCAACTAAGCCACCCCGGCACCCCTCATCACCAAACTTTAAAATTATTACTAACCCTAATGAAATAATAGCTCTACGTAATAATTATCAACATCTGCTAACATGCCAAGAAAGACAATCAGACATAAGGTACTTCCTGATGTAAGTACACACCACCTCTTCAAGTATTCTTGCCCAAAAAACTCAAACCTGAATATGATCATGTCTCTAGATCTAACCACCCCCTTTACATGAATAGAGGAACATATTTATTTTTTAAATATTTTTTTAACGTTTATTTTTGAGACAGAGAGAGACAGAGCATGAACGGGGGAGGGGCAGAGAGAGAGGGAGACATAGAATCGGAAGCAGGCTCCAGGCTCTGAGCCATCAGCCCAGAGCCCGACGCGGGGCTCGAACTCACGGACCGCGAGATCATGACCTGAGCTGAAGTCGGACGCTTAACCGACTGAGCCACCCAGGCGCCCCAGAGGAACATATTTAAAATCACCACAGGGATGCTGTCAGCAAAGTCCAGACTCTGGGAAACTTTATAGGACAAACAGCCTTGTTATTTCAACAATTACAAGGGGGTGGCAAAAGGAACAGAGAGGTAACCTACCAACTGAAGGAGATTTAAGAGACACATCACTATTGCAAGACACGGATCTTACTTGAATCCTGAATCAAACTAATGCAATACACATACAGTGTGTGTGTGTGTGTGTGTGTGTGTGTGTGTATACCATTTATATACCATTTATACTAGAAAATGTCATTCAAGTCCCTGCCAGGGCACTGTGGCAGGGCATGGCATACAAAGGTAAGGAAAGGGGAGATATAGGCTTTCTCTGCTGGGGACACCACCACCTTTCCCCAACTTCTACACAGACTGTGTTTGCTGTGAATGCAGTGTCATCTTGAGGGCAGAACCCTCTTCTCACACTCATCCTGGCCCCTCATACAGGCCCACAGTAAAAAAAGTGCAAAAGTGACCTCTTATTTCAGATGTCCCAGAGCTGAGGACAAAATATCTGCTATTGCACTTGGTCATTTCAGGAGTACTGGTGCCTAACTGCAGGGTAGAACAGAGGATGGATGGATGGATGGATGGACGGATGGACAGACAGATGGACAAATGAATGGATGCCCAACCTACCAACTGCATCCTGAGTCCCACTAAAAGCTCAGGGCTGAATCTATTCCAATGTTCCATCAGTCAGACTGCGGAGAATTTGAAACATACTTTACAAGGTTATACAAAGTCAAAGTTAGACAGGTCCTAAAGGATCATTTGTTCTAACATCTTCATTCTATAGAGCGTAAAACTGAAATATATAGAGGACTATTTACCCGTTATCTACAGAGGCTGAGTCAGGTCTGAAACCCAGGTGTCTTGACTCTCAGTACACTGCTCTTTGCATCAAGGGGTTATTCTTTAAGTAACAAGCCTTTGTCCTTGTATCCTTTACTAGGTCATTCCACCAACTTTGTGGTAACTGTGCTCTTACCCTCCAAGCGGTCCAAAGATTACTGGATTGCCAAGGGGTCAGCTTTGCTCTGCCAACTAAATGAGTGAGAAGTTGCCACCTCCTGCTAAAAAAGAACCAGGCCAAAAGTCTTTCCTGATGGGGACAAAGGTCCGTGTAACATATGCAAGCAAAACAGCTATACTTCTGGTCTGACTTAAGGATGGTTAGTGTGGCTTTTCTCTTCTAACCTAAAATAAAGTGTCTGAGTGCTTCATTGAGTTGGTAATTCAAGCTCTGATGCGAAAGCAGTGGGTTCAGCACTCACCTCTTAAACCTGCTCCCCCTCCTCCATGTGAGAGTCAGGCAGCTTCCCATCAGTAACTTGGGGGGAGGGAGGGGGGTGCCTGGGCAGAGTCAGAACTCACCAATTCCTTACCCGGATGGGCTTCCTTCCTCTTCACTCTGACATAAAAGGCCCAGTGTACATTTCAGTCACACGGCCCCAGGTGCTTCCATTTCTAGACCAGATTAAGGCTCAGATCCCAATATATGGGAGGCAGATGAGCAAGTGAGCTGGACAACAAGCTCGTGACACCATGGTGCCAGCTCCCCCACTCTACGGGCCTATCCCACCATCCTTAGAAGAGCTTGCTGTGCTTCACAGAAGTGGAGATTGGTCCTGCCCAAGGACAGAATTTCCCCTTCCACTTTAGGATGAACCTGTGTAGAAAGCATCCAAGTCCCACCCAGGTGCACCAGAGCCCCTGCCACCTCAAAAGCAGAGGTTGTTGGGCCAGTACCGAGATGGAGCAGTCACCTGTGGCAAACCATCTTGTGTCAGCCGTGCCAACAAGGGTCTGTTTATGTCCTCAGCCATAATATGAGTCACGAAACCAGGAACCACCCAGCTAGCATGTGGTCCTCTGGATAAAGACACACCACCCCCTTCCAGAAATTTGGAAGAACTGAATCAGGCCCAGTAATCCCACCTTCCCCTTTTACCTCTGCCTTCATCCCCATAGCTATCAAAAGAACAGACTGAAGTCGCAGAGTAGCAGCGAACAATTCTTGTACTTAGAGCTCAGAGCAGGAACCGAGATGACTCTTGGCATTCCAAGCAGGAACAGGTGCTTACTAAGCCACGGGAATGGCTGCAGCCGCAGAAGTCAGAGGCTGACATCCGGCACCACAGCAGCTGTAATTCCAGATCAGAAAGCTGTAGGAAACTGAGCCAACCTCACAACTGTAACACGCTCGTGAAGCAGGTGACTGGACAGGGAAACGCACGGCCTGGCCACTGCACAAACTTCTGTCTGCTGGAGCCTACCCGTAACTGCCACCACTACTGAAGAAAAAGGTCTTCTGTTCCCCTTGAACCCTCCAAGTCTCGCATAAGTCTATGCCATTAGGAGAATCTCGGTCATAGCAGCAAGGGAATCTGGGAGAGTTTAGCCCTCCTCCCCCTGCAATACAGAGAGTACAGAATGGAGCAAAGGTGGAGGACATGCATCCTGAGTACCATCGCACCACTCTTTAAGTAGACCCGGAAGACCTTCTGGGCCCTGGAAATGACTGAGATGCACCCCCAAGAAAGTCTAGGAAGGGAAGACCACAGAACTGCAAGCCCAGGCAGTCAAGCTTACCGTAAACCAGATTAGAAACAAACACATCTACTTCCAAGTCCTGGGCAGACCCTCTGGGTTTCTGTGAGCTGCTCGAAGGCCCATAAGGAAACCTTGTCACGGGGTGGGTGTGGTGACCAAACAGGAGGTGGGGTGGGAGGTAGGGCTAAAAGTTCCCATTTGAGACTCAACTGAGACAATTCTACTCTTACTCATTTTATAGAGACTCCCTCATAAGATTTTATTTATAAAAGGCATCAGCATATAAATAAATAACAAGACAGGAAGGGGGAGCGTTTGAAACCCACTTTCTTGCATAGCACCTCTGACAAAGCCTACCATTCATCCAGTCTTCAGCATGTTGGTGAGACACTCACATACATAATTAAAGCACTTGTCAGAGCGCAGGAAACAGAACAAAGCTCCTATGGCCTACTGACTCCCCTGAATCCATAACCAGGAGTAGGAAGAGGAGCAGCAGGAAGGAGAAAAAGGTCAGGATCCAAAGTGGCAGGTAGGACCAGTATGAGTAGGGCCCAGGGGTAAAGCAGTGACAATATTCAGAGGGTGTGAGCAAGAGTTGTTTGCATAACATATACACATTGTGGGGAAAAATCTACAAAGAAAAGACATTTAATTATTTCCATATAATTCATTTACAATTATTTTCATACAAGTCATTATGTTATAAAACTGTACACCTACCCCCAGCACTGCTGGATAACCCAGAGTCGTTCCTTGGAAAGAGAAGAATCAACTTTTATTCTCTCTTTTCCTGGGTTGGGCCTATCAAGGCCAGAACAGGGTGTGGAGTACAGGAATAGCCATCCTTCAAGTCCAAGGGGTCAGGGGCCTGGCCTGGCTCCTCCCGTCATTGCAGGAGGGGTGTCTCTGTTTGGAAAGCCAGCACCAGCACCCAGAACACAGGAGTCCAGAGAGACAGACAGGCACTGCTGGCTACCATCTGGCTGTGGCGGGAATGCCCATGGCGAGGGAGCTGCAGCTCGGCAGAGATGTGCCTATCCAGAACAGGGACCTGGAGCTGTGGGACCTCAGCACTAGGAGGGAAAGAAAAACACAGAAGCTCAGAGCACAGAGCACAGCAGGAGCCACTGGATACTCCAGGGCCCCCAAACGCCCACACAGCTTCTTTGCATCTCCCTTCTTTAAAGAGGAGAATGGATGTTAGTATGTTAATAGGCTTCCTGTGTCTCTGTCCCTCGATACTACCACCACAACAAAACCAAGTAATACAGGTGCTAAGACCAGCACAACAGACAACTCTCCCTTGGCTACATGGTTCTTGGTTCAAAGATTATTAAAACTCTAGGTGTAAGAAGGCCCAACTCAGATTTGCTTATCATTAGCCTTTGGGCAATCTCAGGCAGGGCCCCTCCTCACTGACCACACATAGAGGCACATCCAGGCCATGAGGCATCCTCCCTGGGTCTCTGGCTCTCTCCCCTACCCCAGCTCACATCCGGTGTGAACACCATGCAGACATCCCAGGTCAAGACAGTATGAGCTGAGGGGCCCAAGATCTCAGGCTCACCCGGACCTTTCAGCTCAGCTCTGGTGTAAAGTGGCCAACTCCAGGCCACCTTAAAAGGAAATGGCCTAAACTGAAAAAGTACTGAACCGGTCAATTTATTCCTCCACCAATGAAGGATGGTTGGAGAGCTACCCTTGGTCATGTGGAACATGGACACCAACAGGATCCCTGTTCTCCGGGTCCCATTTGGCTGCTAGCTTCCATCCGTTAAAAAATGCCAATCCCAGAGCACACCGGACGCCTTCTTCGAACCTTTCAGTGGCTCCTCACTTCCACAGGCATGAGACTCTCTGTCACTCCACTCCATTTCCTGTCTGGACCCACACCACCCCACTTGACTCTTCCCCCCTTCC